ATTAGAAGTCAGGGAGACATTATCCATCATAGCAACAATGTAATAGACCTTTCCTGGAAAGGGTTTTAAAGAAGGAATTTAAGATATCTGTCACATTTGGCATATGCAAGAATGTATATACACCTTATGCAAACACTGCTGGATTACATGTAAATTTTATGATGAATGTTGAATCTGGCCCAGAGGGAATTATTTGGGAGAGATAATGGATAGGAGTATGACAGGGAGGTGTTGGGTGAGATACACTTTGGGGAATGTAGCCAAATCTATTTGCAGTTGTTATGCATTTAATAGCCTGATGTAAGTAGAAAAAGAACTTCACAGGGACAAATGGGATATATGTGCTTTAGTTGGTAATACAGATTCAAAAGGGCAGATCCAGTAGTGCTGCCTTAGGGGACTGAGTGACAACAGACCCAATAAAATAGATGCTTCCAATTACCCTATGTTTATATAGTTTGTATTAAAAAAAAAAAAAATTCCCTTTTTATGCAGAATATTTCCATAAACTGCACTAAACTGCTCAGCTGGTACTTTCTCATCCCATTTTATAGCCAGGACAGGTACAGCAGGTAGGCAGAAGCCTGGAGTCCTGTGCCCATGTTAGAAGTTTGTATCACTGCTACAAAGACCTGGGGCTGAAAGTGCTTTGCCTTTACAGGAATAAAACACCTTCAGCTACTAAAGGACTGACCATTTGCAGTTTTAACTCCGAGGTCTGATGTTCCACTTGGTCTGGGGAGAAGCATATGTGGTTTTTTTGTCTTCCCAGGGGTGCACAGCCCTTAGCCTGGTGGATCACTGGTGGGCAAGCCAAGGTTCTCCAGTTCCCGTGCCCCACACCAGGAGGGTCTCGCCTGCTTCTGGCTCAGCAGCCCAACATCACAGTTCACACACTCAGTGTGGGGCACAGCAATTTTTGTGGGCGTGGGAAGGTTCCTTGGGCCTGCAATTACTCTGCCTAAAATGAGTCGCACTGAGACCCAAGGAATTAGGGTGCTCAAACCCA